ATGCGCACAGATAAAACATTAACGCAAATTTAAAGAAGCTTGCTACAGTAAAGAGAACAATACAATAAAAAGACACATTTACATACCCGTCACATAATCACAACTAAAGAAAAAGGACAAAAGAACTACATGCAACGCCAAGACTACGACAACACACTCTAATAATATTAACACCAATCGTATTCACAATACACTAAAAACTATAACAATATGGATTGTATTGTAGGGTCACCACAGTGCTCAAACCTATAAAGGTGAGCTTTGCATATCGCGAACACGGTGAACATGTTATGATTTAACGTTTAAATGATTTAAGGTTTTATTGAGCTTTCGACTCGTTGCTTCGAGCCTCCATCAGAATGAGGATATTATTTATTTACACGTCCTTTTAGCTTGGAGACGTTTAGAACGTCTAATTGGATTAGTGGGTAGATTGATGTGATTGGATGGGGTGAAATGCATGGGTTTTGGTGTATTGTGAATATGATTGGTGTTAATAATATTAGAGTGTTGTGTTTTAGTTTTGGTGTTGTTTGTAGTTTTTTTGTTCTTTTTTCTTTAGTTGTGAGTGTATGAAGGGTATGTCGATATGTCTGTTTATTGTGTCGTTGTTTTTACTGTACCAAGCTTCTTTAAACTCGCGTGCGTGTTTAGTCGGTGCGTGTCCGAGTACTTTAGTTTCAATCCTGTCGAATGTGTGGTTGTTTCCGTGGGTATGTTCTGCCGGTAGTGAGTACGTTTTATGGCGTTTTTGTGTTTTGTGAATCTTGTTTCAATTTTCTTAGATGTTTGTTTCATGTATTGCTTTGATCAGTCTTTACATAGTATCAGGTAGATCGGGTCAGTTGTATCATGAATTGTTGTTTTGTCTTTATGTTTGGCGAAACATGATTTGAGTTTTTGTGTAAGTTTGTGGGCGACGTTAATATTAAATGGTCGAAAAAGTCTGGCAGTAATTTCTGATGTTCCGTTTACGTATGGTAGTGTGACAATTTTTAGTGTTTCGTCCGGTTTTTGTTGCTTTCGTCGGTTTGTGTTTTGTTTTGTATTTTGTATATAGTTTTGTTTATAAAGTTTCTAGGGTAATTGTTTTTAATATATGTGGAGTATAAGTAATTGCGTTCTGTTTTTTTGGCTTCTTCGGTGTTACAATCATTGTTTATTCTGTTAAAAAGTGTTCGAATGCAGCTTACTTTGTGCTGTGATAGATGATTGCTGTTGAAATCGAGTATTTGGTCTGTGTGGCTGGTTTTGCGGTATACTTGTGTGTTTAGTTTACCGTCATCTGTTCTGGCAGGATGTCGAGGAAGGTAAGTTGTTTGTCGTGCTCTTCGTCTTTAGTAAAGGTGATGTTCTTTGTGGTATTGTTTATGGTGTGTAGGATTTGTTCAGTTTTGTCTTTCTTGACTATGGCAAAGATGTCGTCGACATATCTTTTCCATAGTCTGATGTTTGTGCTGTTTGTGACTGATTGTGTTTCGAGATGTTGCATGACAGCTTCTGCGAGGAAGGTGGATAGTGGTGACCCCATTGGTGTGCCTGAAATTTGTCTGTAGTATGTTTTTTTTAAAGTGAATTCAGTGGAAGGTTGAGTAAGTCTAGGATGTAATTTTTGTCTAGTTGTGTTGTAGCTTGCCAAGTTTTGTCGTTTGTGAGTAGTTCGTTTGTCATTTGTTTGGCTATGTCTAATGGTATGGATGTGAAGAGCGATGTCACGTGGAAGGTTATCATGATTTTGTCTGGTCGTTGTTTAATGTTTTCAATACTGGTGAGGAAATTGGTGGCATTTCTGATGGTGTGAGGTGAATTTTTGACTTATGGATACAAAATGTTATAATAGTCCGTGATCTGTGACCGATTTTCTTTCATTCCCGTTGGACACCTCAACAAAGGTCGTGAAAAGTTCAAGACAAAACGATTTTTACATGTCTAACACAATTTCATTTCTTTTCATCTCCAAAAAGCTGCAGTTTTATTGCTACATTACATTGAAATTTTAAAATTTGTAGCTCATTACAATTCCGGAATCCGCCATTATTCTCCAAGAAACTTCATGTAATTTATACTTTGTGTGCTCGTGCCGGACCTATAAAAGAGCTATTCCACTCGGTTGAATTGACAACCTGAGTAAGATTGTTAAAAAAATGAATATTTGACACGTGCATTAGGTTGGATTTAAGAAATTTTCGCGAAGGTGATATTTTGAAAGTTATAAGAGTATTGTGCAAGACAAGGCGCTCTTTTTCTAAAGGTGCATTGTCACGCAGTTGCAACTGCTAGCGAGTAAGGATAGGGACGAGTTTCTTTCAATTTTTAGACTTGTAGACATTCTAGCTATTTCATATGCTTTTCATTACTGAGAAAGTTTATTGCATTGTTAAATAAAACAGAAAAAAAAACAAATTCATTCTTCATGTGGTGAGCTTCTGGTATTTTTTCATATGCTACCTTCGATACAGTCGACAGAGTAGTCTAAAGCTGCGCACATATTAAAGGCATTACGCCAACATAAAAGCTCAAGCCAACGCTAGTCGTCATTCAAGGGCGGTGACAGCGCGCGCTTTTTCTAAAGGTCTGCCTCGAATTCGTCGTCCATGTCATCGTCCTAAAACTCCGCTTCCTCATTATCATTGTCGTCATCAATATCTACATTCGTGCATGCAGTACAAGAGCATACATCTGTGTACTTCACTCCTGCTTTATTACATGAACAACGTTGTGAGTTTCAGCCAGCCTTACATCCACAATTAACATTATCAAGTATGGAATCCGGCCCCGGGGGAACGGTCATCCATACGATTTACAGTTTCCCGTCAATTGTTTGCCACCCATTTACATCCGGAGGAGGAATATCCATTTGAGGTTGTAAACAGGAACGCCAAATCGCCGCTTGGTAGTTTGACCGAGGAATATGTTGAAGCAGACTGTCACAAGTTGGTGGTAGTTGCTCATCTGAACATTTTCCAGCCTTGAACAATGAGAACGGACATTTGTTGACGTCCTCAGAATTCTTGTCACCCAACAATAAGCGAACAAATCTATTTAGTTGAAACACAAGTTATTCTGACGGGGGAATGCCCTTCCTAAGGAACAAAATGAGTTCAAATATTTGTGGTTACGTAGAAGAATGTTACATGCTGTATTTTTGCCCTTTCCATAAAAAGAACTGGTGCTGTCACATCCTTATAAGAAAATTTTGAAAATATTGATTACAGTATACTATTCTTTCACATATTGTCATTGTAACAAAGGAAACGTAATGACAACATTGGTGTTAAAGAATTACCAGTGAAGGCATGGAAACCTAGCAAGCCTTGACTAAGATTTTCCTCACTTTCTTCTACAATAGTTTGTATAGAAATCAAGCGGAAGTTATTTCCCGTTCCAGTCATGAAGAATATTTCTTTGTTAATAATTCGTTGTATGGCGATCGACAACACAAAAACGTCTGTATCTGGGCTTTTGATTATGATTCTTTTGTTGGTTTCTTTAGCATGATTTTCATGTAGTATGAGCCGAATTTCAGCTTTCTCGTGATTACACTCCAATTCATACATTTCACTGCATTCTACTATATCCTCATCTGATCTAGCTCGATAGCATTTCTCCTTCGACGTTACATACAACGATGACAGATGTCCAAGACAAAATGATACGTAATTGCCCCAGTGCTCACAAAGAAACTGGATCAATGAATCTTTGTTTTCGCCCAGAGCAAGAAACTTTTTCCACTGCTTTTGAACATGTTGGTTTTTGTCGAATACACGAATTTCTGAATTCCAGTGTTTTCGGATCTTCTGCTCCTTTCCGATTCCTTGATACTTGTGGGAAGGTATCTATCCGCAACAAAGTCAACTCTTGTTGCCTTCCAGTCTTTGGCCATCTTTAATACGTTATTAAAAATTGCATCGCAAAATTCTCCAAACGTTTTCCATTTGCTCTTCATTGTTTGGATAAGAGCCATGGCATCGACAATGAATGCATTGTTATCACAGTGTTCACCATCAAATTTGCACGTGAGGTAGTCACCTATACAGTAAACATCGTAAGAAATTCCTGCATGAATACGAAGACCAATCACAATACAAATCGAATCAAGACAAGAATTTTCGAAAATGTCTCACACTGCAACAACAACTTTTTTTAGCAAGTTAAACTAGCCTATTTGAATCATGAAACCAAATTTGAGGTGTACTAGATTCTGGGGATTCCTTGTAAATCCTACTTGTCGAGACAATAACAGAAGTCCAACACTAATAAAGCTAACAAAGAGAATCGTTATTTGTACCTTCAAAAATTTCAAATAGCTTGGATTTGGTTGTTTTAACAAGACTTCCAGAAGTGGTTGCCAAGGAAAGCGGGTACGTGCCAAGACTGTACGACAAAACATTTGCAATGTCAATTTCACGGGTCTTAGCTATCATAAATAGCCGAGCAAATAGGTCTCTGTTCATTTTTAAATTGATTTCTTTCCCTTTGCTGGTTGAAACAATTGAGCGTTTCTGACACAAGAGATCTGAAATCTTGTTACGGGTGAACTTTGCAAAAATGTCCGGTTTTGTACTCAAAAGATTATCTCGTGCAAATTTAATAAACTGCTCCTCCCTCATTTTTCTGCCCCCAGGAGTTTATCTGCAATCTCATCTTCCACCACCAAGCCACTGGGCAAACCAACCAAATTTTCTTCCTCAGCATCAAACGGATTGTTCATGCTCAACACTGCAGACATTACATCCTTTAGTAATTTTTCATTAAAGGACATTGGCAACGAAAATTTTTTTTCATGCGTTTATCATAGATAGCTATGGAGTACTTAATTTCGTGTTTTCGTGTCTCTTTTGAATTTTGCTGTTGAGAAAATTTGACATAAAGTTGAATCCTTATCCGCCATTTTGGAAAAAAGCCTTATGCTAAATTATGCCGGAATACATTACTGACGTCATTGGCTGGTATCCACTGAATGACACAATATAAAATATTAGTATTATAATAATATATAGCACATTTGTTCACTGGAATTTTAAAACAAAAATAACAGTCGGCGGTTGTTAAGATTAACAAAAGTTGTGTAGTTTATCACGCTTATATACTTTTCCAATATTTAGTCGTTATAAGACGTAGAAACGTTTATTTTAGCAGATCTTACAACTAGGCTTTTGCGACATACCAAGTGTGAGCCCAGACAACAATAAGCGTGTTTTGTATACTGAACATTTCGTGCAATAGAAATATTTCGTTTTCCCATATTACAAACCTGTGACCAACAAAAGAGTTATACGTTTCGTTTTCCGTAATGTTTTACGTGCGTGTTTGCGTGCACAGTGTACTAGTACACTTTTCGATTAACTTTATAACTTATGAATGAATACAAGCTTTGGGTGGATCACTCATGCATTTTGCTTTTGTGCAGTTGGTGACAAACCTTCGACAATGATATGGCATCGCAATTGCGGATCATAACAAAGAACATCAAAGAGCGTCTGTCTAAGACTTTAAATTTACGATCTTTCGTGATAACATCAAACGAAAAATTCCCTAATACGCTTGTTAGATTGATGACATGAACGTTAAGTACACACCAAAGATATCCGTAGCATTAGAGTTAACGGAATAGGTGCGTCTGTTTCCGAGGATGGGAGTTAGCTTTTACGAACACGCCGCACGGATTTTTTTCACGATACATTGGCTATAAAAGCTGATGCACAATGAAATGCTGCCCATAATTAGAAAGGTATATTTCAGTTTAGATTACTTTTTAAACATGTATTGCCCGGTGTACGGTTGCAACAGCGACTTCAAAGAAAAAAGGAGAATGATATTCATTTCTTTCGGTTCCCACATGGAAAATCAGAAGCACAGCAGAAGAGAAGAAAACTATGGATTGATTTTTGCAAAAGGAAATCATTCGAGCCATTGGCGAACAGCAGAATTTGCTCGCTCCATTTTGCAGAGGACGCGTACGAAACAGGGTGTACAAAAGAATTTCTTCATCAAATAAAATGCGAGGAATCATTTCGAGTAAGATAAAAGAGCAATGCTGTGCCAACCTTAAACAAACCATTATATGTAACCCCATCAAACAAGCGACTTTTGTCCGAAAAAAGGCAACGTAAAAAGGTGATTTTTTACAAGAAAACTTCTTTCATATGACGACCATGCTTACAATTATTAATTACATTTTACACAGGACATTACAGAACTTTCAGCAGATAGCGAAACCCCTATGACAGAAGAATCATCTAGTGAAAACGAAGAACCAGAAAATGAAGAAAATGAAAATTCAAATGTTGTCAGCATTTCGCAATTGGTGTTTTCCAATTCACGAGAAAGGTCCACACAAACACAAAAGAAATTTGCGACAAAATCAGTAAAAACACAGACACTGATAACATCAAGCTCGGCCACTTTTCAAGAAAAATGTCTTTTTAGTAGTTTGACTGCCACAACTTCGTCTTGCTCCAGAATACCAGCAATCGAGAATGAGGACATTGCCAGTTCTGCACCCGGTTATAGCAAGGATGCCACAGATTTTGTGCCATCTGCAGCAGTAGAGGTTGATAGTGAGAGCACGGGAAGTGCCACGTCATGTCTGGATCCTGGTTTTATGGATAGCGATGCTGAACTTTCAAACTTGTCATCGCCCAAAAACAGTGATGAAAGTAGCTAAGAAGTAGTTAGCTCTAAAGAACAAGTCTTAATAGAAGGAAAACCGCCTGAAAAGCAGATGAAATTTTTTGTGTTCGAGGATGCAATTGTAGATGTTTTCGGTCACTCATGTCGGTGTCATGCGAAATGCATTGTAGCAATTGAAAAGCGAATTGGTTCCTCTTACAATATTAGCGTATCCTGCACGGCTAAACTTAAACATTCTCTTACATGGGCAACTGGACCATTGCTATTCAAAATGCCAGTATTTCATTTACTATTAGCATCTGCAATTCTTGCAAACAGGCATGGAATCTTCCAAGGCTCTTCGGCTGCTTAATGTGCTTAAAACTCCTAATCTGAAGCAGCGAGAGTGGTCAAGTATATTAAAAAGTTAAGTAATTCCTTCAATATATGAAGTTTGGGGAGCGGAACAATCTGCAAGATTGAAGAATCTAGACGATGAATCAATTGCTATTGCATCTGATATGCGGGTCGATAGTCCTGGTCATAGTGGGCTTTTGGGATCAGGAAGTACTTTGGACATGAAAAGAAACATTATTTTAGATACACAAGTAGTGAAGGTATTACCCTGATAATTCTATTAAGTTTTTTGGAATTCCTTTGTTAGCAATTTAAAGTTATTTACAGAATTAGATAAAATTCAGATAATGTTAATATTTTGTTTTGCAGTCAACTGAAGTAAAAAATTCAAACGCGATGGAACTTGAATCGTTAAAAAGGCAACTTAAATACTTGGAAGACAATGGGTCTAAAGTGAACAAGCTGGTGATAGACCGCCATGTCCAAGTATCTGCTTCCATGGCAAAAGAGAAACCAGAAGTAGATCATGCATATGATGTCTGGCAAGTGGCAAAAGTTATATATATTAATGTATGTGTATTTTTAATTTAAAATCTCTGGCACAAAAGTATACAAAATTCTATGATATTGAAAAGTAAGTCTGTTATTAAGTAAAGTAAGTTTTTCCAACAATCTCGAATACACTTTAGGGGACAAAAAGAAACTGGTGAAAGTGGCAAAGATGAAGAAATACAAACATATTCAGCCATGGATTAGGGTATGCATTTCATGCATGTAAATGCCTAGCATGTATGTGTTCCTGCAGGAATCGTCATTGCACTATGACAAAAGCCTCGAGGGCACATTGTGATTCATATTGTATATATATATATATATATTTATGTAAGTTTGAAAATTTTTAATTTATTATTAATATATATATGTTCATTTTTTCATTAACTGAATAGTCAATTATCAACCATATATATTGGGTTGGCAACTCAAGTGAAACTCCAGATGAGAGGGAAGAAAAGTGGCGCAGTATTCTCAATTACATTGTTAATATTCATGAGCATGATGGTCACAAGCTATTTACAAAATGCCTTCACGACACAATTGATAGAGCTGGCTCAAAAAAGGTTGAGTAGACAGAATAGACTAGAATTTAGAAGTTTAATTGATGCCTCAAAATTTTTATACTCATCTATATAACAGGGTCAGCTGCTCATAAAAAATTAGAGGAGATGTTGACAAGGCCTCGACTAATTGCAGCAATTCGAAAGTTATCCAAGTATCACCAGACATCAGGCTTAGAAGCCAAACATGCTTTGGATAATATGCTTGCCTCAAAGAATACTTATCATTCATATCACTCATTAAGTGCAAGGTATGTTATTTAAAAATCCACTTAAAATTTGCAATGCACTTCAAATATCTTAAAGAGGATAAAATAAGGACATTTCAATATTGAAGAAAGTTATCATAAATTCGGATTTTTTAACTTTCTGTATTAATAAAGTCTGTACTGTTCAAACTTGCACTACAATTGGAACAGCAACAGACCACAAGCAAAAACTGCAGATGGAAACTTGAGATGGGCAATTACCTATCCAAAATCTTTCAAAGGAGAAAAAGCTGTTGCAAAACCTTTGAAGGAAAAACCCACCTATGATATGAATGATATCACTCAATAACAAATAAAGCAAGAAAATTTCATGATATAAAAAATAGTAGTATTATCGAAAGGCTAATAGATTTTGGTGATAGTTTCTCTAGAGTACTAAATAATTATCCTATTTAGGATATGTGCAGTTAATATTGAATGAAGTTGTAAAACTAAGAAGCCAGTACTCGACTTTGAAGAAGGCCAAAGCACATGCAGATATGATGCTACCTCCTGAACCACAATCGATAGATAATGTTTCCAGTTTTCTGTCTTATATTTCTGAAGAACGTATTGAATAAGAAACGTGAGATACAGCTGTAAGTGAGAAACTGTATGTGAGTAAAGAAACTTCCGGATAAAAAGCTATCTGAGAAAACAGCAAATTGAACATTAGAGACTTTTTATTATTTGTACGAATGTCATTATTTTTAGGGGCATTTTTAAATTTTCTTTTTGTTTGAGTGTTATGAGAGAAATATAGTTTTGCATATTTTAGTTAATCACTGCTTTTTAATTTGGTTTTTTTGTATTACCGTTCATACTGTTCTTTTGGCTATTGTTTTTTTCAAAGAATATCATTGATGTTATGCAATAAAAATTATTGAACGTAAAGAGTCTGGCAATAAACAAAAGAAAATGACGGACAAAGAACGTATTACATTGATTAGCTCCTTTAATCTAGAGTCCTCTATTGGGATCCCAATAGAAGGCTTTGCTTGTGTTTTCATTTCTTGCTCTAAGCTATTTTTACTCAAATTCACCATGAATATGACAGTGAAGGAGTTTCATCTTTAAATAAATTGAACTTAGCAACAATCTATGGTTCGTTTTAATTCAACATCAATTATAAAGAAGTGAGGAGTGTCATATCACGAGCTTTATCATCTTCATTAATTTAACACACCATCTCACACACCAAAAAAATGTTGATGATACATACATTTGCATTACGAAAATCTGCTAGAGTTCCTTTTCAAGGAAAGGTAAGAACCATTTCCCATAATTATCGGTTAATATCTTTCTCAAATTTTCCAGTTTGCCAGCAAATCTAGTTTTTTTCCACCAATAAACTATAATCTCATGTTCTTTCAAAAACTTTTTTCAAAGTTGGTGGATCAGAAGAGACATATCGAACAAAGTTATTACTAACACCATTTTTTTGGCGAACTTGTAGATACTTGGTACTTACAGTGTCATAGTGATGCCATCGTACCTGGATCCTCTGCTCTTTTACAACAGACTTTTTTTTCTTCGCTCCGCTTGAATGGTCATTAGAATTTCTATTTCAAGTTTGGTCGTGCTATCTAAATTTTTCTGTGTTCACTCACTGTAAAAACAATACATTTCTAAAGAAACGAATAATGATAATGATCTAAAGTTTACATAGCACGACCAAATTTGAGGGCTGACTACGAATTTTGTCAATATTTTAAACAGTACAACATCAGTAATATTTTTATTTGATTATATTAAATTGAGTACTAAGATCTAAAGTAATAAACAAAAAGCAAATCGAAATTAATCGCGAGTTCGAAACAAACAATCCTAGGTGGCCGTTGCCTCAAATTTCCGCCTCTGAACGATAGTGTAGAGAGTAAAACACTTCAAAGGACATTTTACAACAAAAATCCAAATTTCGAAATAAAAGCGAGATTTGACAACTACATGTCAGTATTTTCCATCTAAAGATGATAAGGGATTACTTAAGGGGGAAATACATGCTGTAGCACAGGGGTCTCCAAACTACGGCCCGCGGGCCAGATGCGGCCCGTTGGGCCTCTCAATCCGGCCCGCAGAGACACTTAAGAAAGCCAATTTCACCACTCACATTGAGAAAACTGAACAGACTAATTGTGATTTTGTTATGATATTACACTTGGTTGAAATTTAACCTTTAAATTTTGAATAAATATTTTCTTAACTAATGAAGCTTGTGTTATGTACTTCGTTTTATTAAAATATTCGCTCTTTGACCAGCGTTATATGATTCATCGGCCCTCAACAAGCTGGATGAAAGTCATGTGGTCCTCTAGGTGTAAAGTTTGGAGACCCCTGCTGTAGCATATTCACACAGATTTCTTTTAATCTCACAAGGAACTTTTCTTTTTTCTAACACTTCAATATACAAGTATTCCAGTTTACCTCACAGTTTGGGGGATCCAGAATTATGGCAACCACAATTAAGCGAATCATGGTTGGATCAAGTGGACCTGCAAACACTCGAAGATATAAACAAGTGTTATACATATTGCTGTAATATGTTTCCTATTGTTTCTCTATAATAGAAAGAATATCCCCATTTAGAGTACAGTATAAAGGCCGACTATGCACCTGTTTTGTTTGTGCTCTTTTTCCGAGTGGACCAGGAAGAAAGAAAGCGTCAGATGCCTGGGTTACTGGAGTTCGATCATGGGATAAGATGAGAAGCGTGGGTAAAGATAAAAAAGGAAAGATGCAGAAGCATTTCTCTTCCAAATCCCACAAAATTGCTTTGAGTGAATTGGCACATTTTGCCTGCAATATGAAAAACGTCGATGTAATGTTGGAAAAGAAGTTAAGAGAAATAAGAATACAGGAAGAAGAAAACAATTTGCGATACCAATAAGCCATAAAGATCCTTTTAGACATCGCAAGAACATTGGCACGACAACAGCTAGCTATCAGAGGGCATGATGAAAGGCACGAGGGAAACTTCATCGAAATAACAAATCTTGTTGCTAGGCAGAACCCTAGACTTCAGTCATGGCTGTCAGACAAGAGCATGAAACCTTATTCAGTAAAATACATATCACCTATTTCACAAAATGAGTTTATTAGGCTTTTGGCTAAAGATATAAGGAATCACATCGTAAAAGATATCGTTTCATCTAAAATACACTCAGTCATGGCCGACACGTCTCCTAAAAATTCAAATACGGACCGCCTCGTAGTGGCAGTGCGCTACGTTGACAAAAACAACGTGCCAAACGAGAGAATACTGGAGATGAAAGAAACAAAGAATAAAACAGGTGAAGGCCAAGCAAAAGAGATTCTTGATTCCCTTAAATCACGATTACCTATTTGTCACGATGGGTTAGTGTATCAGTCTTACGACTACACGGCTTCAATGTCTGAGACTTTTAATGGAGTTCAACAACATTTGCAGGAAATGGTTGGACGCAACATTCCATACATCCTATGTCAAGGCCATAGGAATGTGTCAAATGCACAGTATTAAACATTGCCGTACAAATTACTTAGTATCTTTTTAAGTATTTCTAAGACTAGTCTCTGCGTTGAATAATTTTTCAATTTTATGTTTTTAGATTAAACACTTTCAATGAGCATTGCTCAAAGGCCTCTACATTTTTTGAGATGTATAGCTTGCTCGAAGATATATATTTTTTTTTCAGCAGAAGTTGTAAACGGTTTTATGTTGCAAGAACATATGGAAATAATTGAAAATGCTCTTAAATTGCGCAATCTCTCAAAGACGAGATGGGTGTATAGAAGTGAATCAATTGAAGCGGTATAGAGATTTTTTGAAGCCATACGAAATGCCTTAGCGGACATAGCAAAAGTTGACAACAACTCATTAAACAGAACCAAAGCAAACTCGCTCTGTAAGAAAATGGTCAAGTTTGAGCTTGTTTTTGCCAGGGGCGGATCTAGGATTTTTCAAAGAGCAATACAAAATGTATGTTCATGAAGTTTATCATGAGAAAGACCAAGATCCTGACAGTACAGATGCAGAAGCCAGAGCTCAATATCCTTGATGGTCTTCAACTGATTGATGCAATTCTTAGATCACAGGAAAGAATACGGAACACTGAACCTGAATTGAATGATCAAATAGATGCGAGTTTTGAGTTTGCGAAGACTCTGGGCTCCAATCCCGAGGAAGCGTTTGCTAGAAAGAGTAATAAAAGATAAAGCAGACGTTTGGATGACAACCCTGAGACTTTGGCAATTATGTCACTAAAACCTAACTATCGAAAATGCATGATTGAGGTCCTCGATTCCCTCATCAGAGAATATAGAGATAACATAAAAAGTTGTTTGCAAAAAATAAAACCCTTAGCTTTTTATCATTTAGCCTCCACTGACTAAACCAAATTTTGAACAAAATGATAAGGTTACCGAACCTTTTCCTCCATCAATTAGCGTAGATTGTATGCCACTGTTTGCAGATCTGAAGATTTTTGTTAACTTTTTAAATTAGACAGAAGAAGAATGTAAGACAGTCCACGATGCCGGAAAAATAAAGAAATTTTCCCAAACGTTTATTAATGCTACAAAATTCTGTTTACTGCTCCAGTAGGCAGTAAGTGTGACTGATATTGAAAGATCAATCAGCAAAATGAAAATTTGTCAAGAACTATTTGCGCTCAACAATGAAAGGTGAAAGGCTGGAAGAACTCATTGTCTTCTCAACCGAGAAGGATTTAACAGATACAATTCATGTGGATGTAGTACTCTAAAATCTTGGCCATCCAAAAAAACCCGTAAACTCAGAATAAAATTTAAGTAAGAAGCAACACCTCAAGATTACGTTGAGATGATTCTCACTTAAGACTTTTGATATTAGAACAAATATACATTGTTTTATATTTCAAAAACAGGTTTTGTAATAATGTATGTGTTAGAAACCTAGTCTTCAATAAGATTTACTAATAAACCACGCATGCAATTATAGAAATGATTATAATTTGCTAGCCATAATGATTTAAGGGGTTTTCGTGGGCAACGCCCTTTGCAGGGCAAATTTTCTCCTCACCCACACCGATTACTTCAGGTCTAGTTACGCCTCTGGATTCACAATGAAAATGGGTTGGAATGAAGAGCTTGAGTTTTGTGAGTAAGAATGGAAGAAATTTGTGGCGGACAAAACTGAAGTCGATTCGAAATGCAACAATATTCGTACTCCTTGTTGTGTTGAGGAGAAGAAATATCTTTTGTAGTGATTTAAAATGTATAGTTAAATATGTCTACTTGAAGGTAAAATGAACGACTGTTTTACTGCACTGAAAAAATAAACGATTGTGTACTTGGCTAACAAAAACAACATTTATATGACAGAGGTACTGCTTGATTTGAAAAACGTTAATTGGCCTACGTGTTCTTTGAAAGTGCATCAATATAAGGTACTAAGGGTACTAACCCTGAATAGGTTAAAACACTCAACTGATTTGGATACACTAGCTTCAAAGCAATGACGCAGCATAGTCTCTCGTTCATTGCTCATCTGTTTAGTTACAACAGCAAAGCAATATGACAGTACGGCTACAAATAGTAATACATATGCAATTATTAACAAATAGATAACATTTAACCGTTGTTTATACAGTTATAGATACACGGGTATGACGTCAACTGTGATAAAAACTAAAAAAGTGACCACATTAACAAAAATAACCCTGACATCAATGTTCAAGTTTTTAAATTTAATACAATATTTAGTTTATAATACGCTCGGGCGCTCTTTATTAATTTATCTTATTTCCTTTTTATTGTTGTAATTTCTGTATCCTATTACTTGTATATAAACCTTGTATCATTTATTATCTCACTCATACCGAAGATGGCATCATGAGATGTCGAAACATGTCTATTCTAAAAAAAGTTGTCGTGTATATTAAATGCGCCTTAGCAATATTGCTTTTACGAAATTATGGAAACTTTGATTATTATTGAAGTTATTGATGGTTGATCACTGGTTTCCCCGAGTTAGCTTGTAATGAGAAAGTTTCTGACTCGAGGGAAAGACGATTTCTTTTCATACTCAACGACATAAATTGTGAGGCAATGAGCTTGCAATAACACAAGTTTCGTGATTTTGAACGATCAAACAAGAGGACTTTCGATTTGGTAAGCTTGCCCTCGAAGTATTGTAGTTTCAAAGGCTAAAGAAATCAATTGATAAAATGAAGATGCAAGCTTAAGCAAATTTTACATGACGAAATCAAAATTTGAAAACAATAAAAGGTGCAAGGGCTGCATGTTTACGTCACGGCCGCCATGTTGGTAGTCAAATACAAAAAAATGTCCTATCAAAGCCATTGTTTGCACAGGCCAATAAGGCAGGTCAATTTTTTTATAATTCCGTAGAAATTGTTTGCAATCCAGGAATAGGCGTATTGTTTTATTGTTGATGAGGGATATTTAGTCTAAACGTCTCTATTAAATGTACTGATGAGGGATATTTAGTCTAAACGTACTATTAAATGTACTGATGAGGGATATTTAGTCTAAACGTCCTATTAAATGTACTGATGAGGAATATTTAGTCTAAACGTCCCTAATGAATATTTTGATGAGGAAATACGTCAGTAAACGTCCCTGCGATAACAAGAGGCTACCATATTATTGCATTAGTTAAATCCTGTTAATGACTCAATGTTGACAATGACCATATACAGTCTCCCAGATCTATAACAATTCAAACCGGCGGCTCATTACAGGTAATTTTACAAACAAATGAAACAAATTTCTTAAAGCAAATAACAAGAGTTTTGAAAACATGAAGAAAACAGAAGTGAATGCCAACTTTTCCAAAACAGAGAGGACAAAAAACTAAAGAAAGCTTCGTTTCAGTTTAAATTATCTTTTATAATAAACAACAACTTAAGAGCTAACTAACAAAGCAATATTACAAAAAAATTGTAAAAATTGCCTAAATTAAAATCATCCTATCTAGTTTTAGTATATTTTAATATAATATCTCACTACGTGGCCGTCCAATGCATAAACTGAAAGTTTGTCATTAATCAAATTAAAACTGACATCGAAATTATGTTGTTTTTGATTCCTTATGCTGAACCCAATTGCTTGAACATTATTTAATAAAGAAGTCATTATTCCTTGAAGCATTGTTTTTCTTGTCATTTCTCACTGTATTTGCGCTGCTGTCGTATTGTGTCCATCGTTTAAACAAACACCAGTAGGCAATAAAGGTACAGCTGGTATTACGTAGTAAATTTTACTGTATAGTTCGGTCACGCACAATTTGTTGTATTTAGGGCCTAAAATTTTACTAATGACTGTCAGCAAAATTGAATTTACTCTTGGTAAAGTTGATAGTCAAAAGCTTAAAAAACGTTTTATATTGTAAAAATGTAATTTTTCGTCATTAAGCACTTGAAGTCATTAACCTGTTTTGCCGTGTTTGCCCACATTAGATGCATTATTTGTGCTTCGTTTTTTCGTAGCTATAAACAGAGGTAATTCTCTAAAATGTCAAAAACTTTATCTTCTATAACATTGCTTCGTCAACCAACCACAGCATCCAAATTTACAAACATTTAAAGTACTATTGTTGATTTGTAAAGGATAGGATTTGACGCAAAACAAGTTCTATAAAATGTTGAATAACTAAGGCAGATGGCATGAACGTTTGTATATACTCAAAACGGCCCTGCACACTCGAGGAAACAGCCTTGACCAGCAGTTACAAGTAAAACGTTGCGAAAGCCACAACTCTGTTGTTCGTCTGACTTGTATGTATCTTAATTTTTCTCTGTTTGTCTAAGGTGTATTTCTTCAGTCGCTTTATTGTGTCCATTTTTCAATTGGTAAAAGAACAAAGGTAAGATGTGATGTAGTTGATAGTAAAACGGAAGATTCTTTATCTTCGATGCTCTGTTAACATTTAGTATTGCAAAATTTTTCTTTGACTTAGTTTGGCAAATAAGTGTTAATACAAACACCGCACAAATTCCACCCCCCGATTATTTGATTCTTATTGTAAATGGAGAGATTTTTTCATTTACCACAATACCTCCAGGTTTGATGTAGGATTGGGGACAGGTTTCACATTAATATTTTGATTCGTATATTTACATATTATCACATTTTTTGCTCAAATCTCTCAACTACATCAAAAACAAACCCTACTCCACTGTTCTGTAAATATATTCGTTCTTCAGCGGAGCCTGCGAAAAATTAAAAAGAAATCCGCTTGAGATTTTCAATTCTTATGGAGTGTTCATTGTCAGTTAGTACTCCACGAATAACTGCAAACAAAGGAGTAACGACAAGCTTGGAAAAATTTAAGAAGTTGCAAAATATTTCCAAGATTTTCTGTGTTATTTCTGTAAATTTTTATAAAAGAATTTGAGCAATCTCAAGATAACACTGAAACCCAAAACTACTTAGCTTCCCTTAATATCGACGTTCGTTTATTTCGTAGGCTCTTCCTCCTCAATAGAAAAAAAGCTCCGCGGTGCATGTAATGTAAATATCTAACACCATTTCAACATTATTTTTTGGTCATTATCTTTTGAAATTTTTAATATATTTAG